ACTGAGAAGCAGATTGGAGAAGGTTGGGGGATGAAGAAGGTGTGCTGGAGAGAGACTTGAAGTGCCAGGAGGTGACCAGAAGGTAGGGTCCAGGTAAGCCACTCACGGCAATAGTAACAGCATCAGAAATAGTCCCTGGCTGGGTCAGGTGCCAAGTTCTGAGGCAAGAGGACACAGAGCAGGCTGGGAAAATCCTCTGGGAAGTGCCAACTTCCCCTTCCCGGTACAGGAACTTCTCCTTTTGTGGCTCCTGGGAGTGAAAGAAGCACAGGCTAAGTGCCAGGAGGCACGCCAGGGGAAGACTTAGTCTTCCTTGAAGCCTACCCGCTTCCGGGAACTAAGGAAGCTTGCGGCTGGGAGCAACAGGGCACGAGCTGGGGAAGGCACCTGGAGGAGGAGCCAGTCTGGACAGTCCCTTCACCCTAACCCCTAAATGGGGAAGGAAGCTGGGGCAAATGTCCCTTTCAATAAATCGGTGGCATCCTAGAGGGAGACTTTGCTGTGTTTCCCAGAATGGAATCCACATGAGGAAATCCCAGAGGCACCCAGTGTGTAGTAATATAGTAGTCAAAATGAGTGTAGTGCAACCAAACATAGCCCGGAGTCAGGAGCCTGGAAGGGATGTCCTGCAGCCCAGAGAAAAGAGATCCAAAGACCTCATAGCTCATCGACAAACCTGAGGCTGCCCTCTCCTTCACACCAGACCACGGTCACCTAAGATACCAGCTTGATGCCTCAGAATCAGAAGCAGCTGACTGGGACTGGGGATGTTCACATCTCACATCGGATGTTGTTCCCAAACTCACTGTTCTCAGTGACTCTGTGACTCTCATCACCTCCATTTTACAGCCAGTTCCTTCTTCATCAGGACCCTTCCCAGTTTGCCCTTGTGGCTACCCTCTCAGGGCCTGTCAGCTGTGGCTGGCTAGCTTCTGTCAGTGTCTGCTTTGATTTCCCATTGAGCCCATTGAGTTCCCTTGGGATTAAACCATGAGCTCCAGACTGACTGGAGTGCTACTGGGGCTGTGTGCACACAGCCTGCTCTCTGTAGATCAGCACCAGCTCCCAGGGTCTTCTCCCAGACAGGGCTTTCTTGTATGGTTGCAGTGAGGGCACCACCTGCTATCAGCCCATCATAGTTCAGCCTATTCTGGTAGATTTCCTGGATCCTGGGACTGTTCAGAAAAGGAAGCCAAGCAGAAAAGGCTGGAATGGGTCCATACTCTTTAGATGAAATAGGACCCTCCCTAGCTCCAAGGCACAAGGTCACTTAAATTCTCTGGGCCTCAGCGTATTTATTTGTAAAGAGATAATAGTGGTAGTACATGACTATATATGGTCACCATCTGTCTACCCACCATCACACTTACCCAATAATTTATCCATCCGTCCATCTGACCACCCCATCCATCCATCCATCCATCCATCCATCCATCCATCCATCTACCCACCTGCCCACCCAATCATCTATCCATCCATACATACATACATACATCTATCCATTCATCCATCTATTCACCTACCCATTCACCCATCCACCCAATCATTGATCCATCCATCCATCCATACATCCACCCATCTACCCAATCATCTATACATGTATATATACATACATACATACATCTATCCATTCATCGTCTATCTACCTACCCATCTACCCATCCACACACCCATCAACCTATCTTCCACCCCACCTATTTACATACCACCCAACTATCCATCCATCCAAAAACCTACCCACACAACCATACATCCATCTATTAATCTACTCACTCCCCACCCATCCAACCATCCAACCATCCATTCATATATTCACCCACTCCCTCACATATCTGTTCATTCATCCACCGTTCCTTATCAACCTACTCATTGCCACATATTCATCTACCCACATACCCATCCATTATGCATCTACCCATCTACTGTCTATTCATCAATCCATATACAAACCATCCAGCATTCAACAAGTATATATTGCATGCCTACTGTGTCCTTAGAATGATACCATATTGGGCATTTGAGACATATCATGATTAAAATATAAGTTTGTGTCTGTGTGGAGCTTCTTCATAAACACACAAACACAAAAATAAATCATATAGATGTTTTTAAAGTCAGTCTGGGCAGGATGTGTGTGTGTGTGTGTGTGTGTGTGTGTGTGTGTGTGTGTGTGTGTGTGTTTCACATCTGTTCAGGCAGGCACAGAAAGGCCAAGGGAGGAAACTGGGTGCCCTGCTCTATCACTCTCCACCTTATTCCCCTGAGACAGTCTCTCACTGAGCCCCGCACTGGGATGACAGCCAGCAAGTCCCACAGATCCTCCTGTCTCTGGCCCCTCGGCACGGGGTTACAGCAGGGAGGGATTTGTATGACTTGGGATGTTCAGGGTAGGCTTTGATGATAAGTGATAGTTGAAGCAAGAGTTAAAGGTCATTTTAAGAGGTTGGCCAAGAGGATATCTGGGGAAGAATACTCCAGGCAGAGGAGAGAGCATGCAAAGGTCCTGAGGCAGGCAGTGAGCAGATGTGTCTGTGGACACTGGGGACGTGGGAGGGGCTGCAGTAGCCAACAGCCAGAAATGAGGCCAGAGAGATGATGAGAGCCAGAATGTGGCAGGCCTGTGTGCTGTCATCCCGATTTTCCTCAGAGGGACACAGGGAGTCAATTCAGTGTCAGAGCAGTGAAGGGCCTAGATCATTCCCAAGTGAGTACAAAAGCCTACACCAACAGCTTCCCTCTTGCAACATCATGTTGAATTCATGCAGGGCTCTTCATTTCCAATCTCATGCTTTCCTCCCTGTGGGGTCTCCCTTCCCCATTCTCTATCTCTGTCTGGGGTGTGTGTGTGTGTGTGTGTGTGTGTGTGTGTGTGTGTGTGTGTGTGTGTGTGTGTAGCCCCAGTCTGGGACAGAGCTGGCCTGAAGGGCAGGGAGAGGGAGCAAGGACCATGCCCCTCTGTCTCCCAGCCCCTGATGATCACACCCTGAGTCCACTTCCACTTTCTGAAGTCATGTGAGATCCAAAACAAAATATTACACCCCAGGAAGGAAATAGAGTTAAAAAACAGGAACCAGTGTACTCAGAAAGGGGGGATAGCAGGGGCTGAGGTGTGGGCATCAGTGGAGGGAGGGAGCTGCTCTTGGTGGCGGTCAGGAGAAAGGGGAACTTTCACTGCTTCCCCAGGTGAACAACTGCCCCAGTAGGATGACACTGGCCGCTTGCACCCTGTTGGAAATCCAGAAAGATGTTGGAGAGTAAAGGTCCACTGTGTCCATGTTAGGAGGGAGAGTTCAGGAACATGGGAGAGTTCAGCATTGTCTGGTGTTTCATAGTGACCAAAAAACATTGAACACTCCCTCCCCCAGTCAGATTTAGGAGCACAGCTTGTCTATCTTCCAAACTGGCCTCTGCCACGGTCTACTCCGACTAGTCTCTGCTTTGTGCATTAGATGAGGGACACGTGCATTCAAAGGGCTGGAATGAGTAGAAGACCTAGGGAGAGGGTGAGGATTGTTTCACCTGTCCCCTGCACACTGTAAGGACTCCATAGATACCAACTGCAGGGTGTAATTTATGTCTCTAAGTTGGAAACATGATGGGACAAAAGAGGCTAGACTCTGTGGCCCCAATCCTGACACCAGAACAACACGCATGGAGAACATAACAAGCTCTGTCTCAATGAGCATCTCTGTTCCTGAGAAGGAAGCCAAACACGCTGAGGAGAGAGGGATGGGAGCAGAGACAGCAGCACTGGCTTCTCTCTGGACTTAAGAGGCAGAAGCAGGCCAGGGTGGAGCTCAGTGATGGAGCACAAGCCGGCACACACAAAGCCCTGGGTTCCAATCTTAGCATCAAAGAAAGTAAACAAAGAACACACTATCAGTAGTACCCTTGACACTGGGACAGGTGAGATGGCTCGGGGCAAAGGTGTGGATGACCCGAGTTCAATCCCTGGAACCCACATGGAAGGAGAGAATCAACTCCCATAAGTTGTCCTCTGACCTCTCTTACAAAGAAATAAATGTAATAAAAAATTAAGACTCCCCTCTCTCTCCTCGTGGGCTGGCTTCTGTTTCTCCATTTCTCTATCTCCTGCCAGCTTTTCGTTCCTTTTCCTTCTGGTTCTCTTATTTCTCCTCTCCTTCCCTTCTCCTTCTTGGTCCATTTGGGCATCTCTGGCTTTCTTTTTCTCTATTCCTTTGTCAGTCAGTCTCTCTCTCTCTCTCTCTCTCTCTCTCTCTCTCTCTCTCTCTCTCTCTCTCTCTCTCTCTCACACACACACACACACACACACACACACACACAGATACACACATAGACAGACACAGAGACACACACAGACACATACATAGACACACACAGACACACAGACACACACACACACACACACACCGCCCTCTGATCTCCAGCTCTTTAGCCCCCCCATTTCCATGACCCCCCTTTCTCTACATCTTTTTTTTTTTTTTTTTTTTTTTTTTTTTGTCACAGGGTCTCATGTAGCCCAGGTCTCACTCTACAGCCAAGGATGAGCTTGAATTTCTAATTCTCCTGATTCCATCTCCCAAGTGCTGAAATTACAAAAGTGCTCTATTACTTCCTGTTTAAGAATGCTGGGATCAAACTTAGTACTTTGTGCGTGTTAGGTGAGCACTCTACCAACTGGATCACATTTCCAGACAGTCTCTGTTTTTGACCTGAAGTGACTGATTGTACCTCTTCCCACTAGATGGGGTAGAATAGTGGGAAGCAGGAGTTCCTCTGTCCACCGTGGAGCCCAGTATCCATGGAGCTTAGGCATGGACCAAGCAGGTAGTTAGCAGTATGCCCTGAGGATGTTCTGCTCAGTGTGGGAAGCATGCTGCATGCCCTCAGCACCCAGCCACCCAGGTTTTCCAGGAGCTCTCCCTGCATCCTGTACACAGATTTCCCTTTCAGAGAGGAAAAGACACCTTAAGGCTGGCCACACCTCACTGCCCTGACTCAAAGGGATGCCAGCTTACCTCCATGGTTCCTGTAGCTGCTGCCCCTCTCTACCACCGGGGCCTGGAGCCTGCTGCCGACCCAGCTTGAGCAAGCCAAGTCTAAATCCCCTTTCTCCAGCAGAGTCAGGGAAATCTTGCGGGCCAGAGCCTCGCCATCAGGCTCATGGAGCAGGGCACAGTGGTACTCCCGGGAAAGCAGCTCTTCTTCCAGCAGGCCATCCAGGAAGGCCCGAACCTGCCTGGGCTGCTGGTGGGAGAGCAGTGTGCGCACCTGAGCCAGAATGGCCTGGAAGTGGTTCATGGCAGTGCCGAGGCAGGCCCCCGCCTGGAGTCTCCTCTCACCCAGGCTTGCAGCATCCAAAACATGAAGTGAGACCCAGGATGAAGGAACCTCTGCAGTCAGTGCTGCTGCCTATTCCTTCTTAGGAATGTTTCCTCATTCGTGAGCAGGCCAGGGTGCCTGACGAGAGGAAATGAGTGCGGGGTGATTCGGATAGAGGTGAGGGAATTTCTGCTTTTCTTCCTGCTTTTGAATTTTATTTTGTCTTTTTTTATTTTTTATTTTTTTTTTTAGGTTTTTTGAGACAGGGTTTCTCTGTGTAGTCCTGACTCTCCTGGAACTCACTCTGTAGACCAGGCTGGCCTCAAACTCACAGAGATCCACCTGCCTTTCCCTCCGAGTGCTGGGATTAAAGTCACAACCCACTACCACCTGGCTAATTTATTTTATGTTTTTTAAAGTTAGATAAGAAGCCCCTGAAGAGTGGGAAAAAACACTTCGGATGGGTGTTTCTCTGAAAGCGCCACTCAGGCAGAAGTCTGAAGTTTATCAGTAAACCAGCACAAGGCTTCCCGACGGACTCTGTAGAGAGTGAGTGGAGACAGCAGATCTCAAAACCGTCAATTAGCTCAGAAGCCCTCCTCTGCGTGAGCACAGGCGTGTGTTTAGAGGGCAGCTTCTGTTTGACAAGTCCACTCCGTCAGTTGAGCTCACCAGCTATGGATTTTAAAAGGCCTTACCTTGTCTGCATCATGGCTGACCACCAACTCTCAATCTCCTCACTTCCCGGTTCTTCCTCCCTTTTGAAACTTTTGGTGGTCTTCCTCCTCCCCTAAACCTGCACTCTCCTACCTTATCTCCCACATCCGTCCAGTTCAGCCTGTCAGAAGCTTCTCAGCTCCATCCTCAGCTTACCCACAGGCTCTAGTCAATGAGGCTTTAGCACCAGGCATAAGAATGATCCAGAGGAGGCCCCTCCAACCCCATCCCTTTTAGGGAGCTGGCTCCCTCCCTCAATCAAGCTTCCTTGCCTTCCACTGTCTTGACTTCTTCTTTGAGACCCTGAAACAACCAACCTGGGAACTCAGAATGACTTGAGTTTCTGAGACCCTGGTTCTTTGGGCTGAGCTTACCTGAACCAATAACGGGCTCTGTCACACTCCCCTTCGACTCAGGGTACCTACCACCTGTGTTGCAGATGTTCAAGAGCCTCCTAGCCTGGGGATCCTGTGAGAGCTAAGGCGGGATACACTGAGAGAAACCTGCCTCTGTGACATCCCTTAAAGAGATGGGTCTTGTCCATGTTTCCTCATGGAGTGAAGGCTCTGTGGCCTCACGGTTGGCTTCAGGACTAAGCTTTAAGGGCTCAAGTCCCCGGGCCCTCCATGTGCGAATATAAGATTCTAGGTAAGTTAACTTGACCTTTTCTATCTGAAAAGGTGAAATGATAATTATAGTGCTTAGCATTGGGAGGGTTGAATGAAATATTCTACCTGGGGCTCCCTACAGGGTGACAAAAATTGTTGATTAACCACACGTGTTACTCTGTCACCTTGAGAGTAACCCACTTAACCTCATTCTCCTCTATAAAGACCCAATTAAACACACCCATCTCAAGTTGTCTTGAGGGAGGTGATGCTTCCAAGGCACCTGACACTGGACTGGGAAGCCCTTCGGGCACTGGTTGGTCTCTAATATCACCAAGTTGCTGATATTCGAAAGTAGGAATTTGCATGTCAGCCAGCCTGTTTTAGGATTTCAAACTTTCTTAGCCTCTGTCTGAGGTCAGAGGACAATTTCTGAGAGTAGCTTATCTCCTTCCACCCATGTGGGTCTGGGTATTAAACTCAAGTTCAAGTCATCAGGCTGATGGCAAGCACCTTTACCAGCTGAGACGTTTTGTGAGCTCCCCACCCAGTCCAGTTTTTAAATCATAGCAGACTGCCCCTGCTACCATCCTGAAGCTCACTGGATCTTCATTTTCTTCCCAACCTCAGCCTTAGCATCAATCCACTGAGGCTCTTTGCTTGGTTCTAAGATGCTGAGTGACTCCCGTGGGACCAAATCTACTACAAATAGAAACTCTAAACTCAGGGAAATACAGAGAACAGTGGCAGGGGAGAAACATGGAGGGCAGGTACTGGAAGGGTTGGTCCACAATAATGCAAATATCACTGGTGAATTCTCCACGTGGTGAGGTCAGCCTGTAGGCAGATCCCAGTCAGTGTTGTTGAAGAGCACCTAAAATTAAAATACACAAAAATGTAGCTCACTTGGTGGAGTGAAGGCTTTGCGTCTACAAAGCCTTGGTTTTAATTCCCAACACTACATAAACAGGGTGTGGTGGTACAAGTCCATAACAGAGGTAAAGGCAAGGAGGTCAGGAGTTCAAGGTCATCCTTGGCTACCCAGTGACTTCAAGCTTAGCCTGAGCTATATGAGACTGCCTCAAAAAGAAAGAAAAAGAAAGAAAGAAAGAAAAAGAAAAGTATAAATTCCATTTCTCTGAAGCTCGGAATAAACAGAACACAAAAATGGAAGTTGGAGTCACCATGTTGGTACACATCTGAAACTCCAGTAGTTGGGAGAAGGACACAGGACCATCAAGGCTAGCCTCAGCTACCTAATAAGTTCACATCCAGCCTGGAATATATGAGACACTGTCTTTAAAAAAAGTGGCTGGAAAGTGGAGTGGACAGAGAACAGTGACATACGAGTGGTACCAAGTTCTGTGGCTGAACTTCTCGGACATCTGGCACGTGTCCTGCACAACGGCATCCGGAACCTCAGTCAAAATGTTTCCGGAGAGATTTGCCTGAGGAAGAAAGAGCCACCCTGAATGTGGGCAGCATCCCAGGGGCCAGGGGCCTGGAATGAATAAACAAGAAAAAGGTGCTGAGCACCTCTCTCCCTCTCCCTCCTTCCCTCCCTCCTTTCCCCCCTCCCTCCCTCTCTCTCTCTCTCCTTTCAAAGGATGCCATGGGAATGACTGTCTCCAGCTCCTGCTGTCCCGCCTTCTCTACCATGATGGACCAATCGTCAAACTGTGAGCCCAAACAGACCATTCTTCCTTAAACTGCTTTTGTCTGGTGTTTTATGACTTCAACCAAAAGGCAACCAATACAGACACATAACAGCCAAACTGTTGAAATGTACAGATAAGGGGAAAGCTTTGACAGCTGCAAAACCGAAGTAGTACATTACATGTGGGAAAACCTTCCGATGGAGGATCTTGGGAAAGGGAGCCCCTGGGCATGGAGAGAGCGCTGATCCTCACTTCATTAGCTGAGGCAAGAAGCTGGTCCATGGCTGTTTAAAACGTCTCCTGTGTCTAAAGCTGTACTAGCCAGTCACATGGAATTGCTAATATTTCTCTTGATTTATATAAATTTATATTTCCGGATCTTGGAGAGATGGCTGGACAGTTAAGAGCTCCTGAAGAAGACCTGAGTTCAGTTCTTAATACTCACACTGGGGAAGCAGCTCACAACTGTTATCTATAACTCCAGCTTCTGGGGATGTGACACCTTCTGACCTCTGTAGACACCTGCACTCATGTGCACATACCCACAGATACACACACACACACACACACACACACACACACACACACACACACACACACACACACAAATAAATAAAAATTTAAAAATAAATATTTGTTTAAAATTATCTTTCCATACTGTGAGACCCAAAATGGTGGTGGTGGTGGTGATGCTGCTGATGGTGGTGGTGGTGGTGGTGGTGATGATGATGATGGTGATTTAAACTGGCTCTTTTTCTTGTCAGGGATTGGCTATTTAATACGCACAGGTGATTCCCTCTTCCCCCAGGTATCTGGTCACTAGCAGGGTGGCACAAGAACTCTGCTTGGAGAAACACTGCTGTAGTGCCTGTAGTCATAACTATGTCATAAAACGAGGCCTGGACCTTGAGCTACAGAATCTTAGGAGACTCAGAGAGGAGGAGCTTGGTGGCTGGGAAAACAAGTGGTGCAGAGGGGTACTCTAGAGGGGACCATCTGGCCACCATGTGTTCACGCTGTACTCTCTGGGTTCATATTGTCTTTGAACTCATCTACCTGTTGAATGAGAGACAATTGTCCTTCTCTACCTCCTGCTGTGGCTTGGAAATCAAAGATGATGAAAAACCCAAGTGGCCGGGCTGCGGTGGTAGCACATGCCTTTAATCCCAGCACTCGGGAGTCAGAGCCAGGCAGATCTCTGTGAGTTCGAGGCCAGCCTGGTCTACAGAGCGAGATCCAGGACAGGCACCAAAACTACACAGAGAAACCCTGTCTCAAAAGACCAAAAAACAAAACAGAACAAAACAAAAACACAAACACAAACAAAAAACCCCAAGTGATTCCCCCAGTGAGAAGAGTTGGGGGGGCGGGATGCTTTCTCTCCACGGTCCTGTCACCCCTACACTGATTTAAGGATGGCATTCACCAAGCCCTGCATGAAAGCTGTGTAGTCACAGAACCTGGTCTAGAGACCCAAAGGAGGCCAGCTGTGGGTTTGCAAAGGAGAAGAAGGCCAGGAACTTAGCATTCACCAGAGTTGCTGCTTCCTTCTGAGAGGTCAGGAGACATGCTCTCCAGGTCTACAGGCGTGGCTGGGCAGGTCCCTGTGGCTGCTTCATGTCTGCCCACAGGCCAGGGCAATACCTTGCTATTTCTCAGCCTGAGTCACCGTGGCCACTGCTTAGGGACATGTGCTGCTGCCTCTGCTTCTTGAATGCCACCCCTCCCCCGCAAAGGCTTGTGGAGCATGCTCTTGGCTTGTAACTGAAGAGGCACAGGACAAGTGGGCGCAACAGACTGGTAGTCCACAGAAAGACAGCGTGGTCTGTGATAGTGCATGAAGGCAGGTGTGGGAGTTAGGAGACAGAATGCCAGCGGGGTGTCAGGGTCAGTCTCACCACCACTATTCCTCTCCTTCCACCTCCGTCACCTCCACCACCACCTCCACCTCCTCCACATCCACCACCGTCACCTCCACCTCCACCACCTCCACCTCCACCTCCACCTCCACCTCCACCACCAACACCTCCACATCCACCACCGTCACCTCCACCTCCACCTCCTCCACATCCACCACCGTCACCTCCACCTCCACCACCTCCACCTCCACCTCCACCTCCACCTCCACCACCAACACCTCCACATCCACCACCGTCACCTCCACCTCCACCACCTCCACATCCACCACCGTCACCACCTCCACCACCGTCACCACCTCCACATCCACACCTCCACCACCTCCACATCCACCACCGTCACCACCACCTCCACCTCCACCACCTCCACATCCACCACCACCTCCACCACCTCCACATCCACCACCTCCACCTCCACCACCTCCACCTCCACCACCTCCACCTCCACCACCTCCACCTCCTCCACCTCCACCACCTCCACATCCACCACCTCCATCTCCACCACCTCCTCCACCTCCACCCCCTCCACCTCCTCCACCACCTCCATCACCGCCTCCTCCACTACCCCCACCCCACCCCCGCCACTGCTCTCATCTTCTGGGCACCAGCATTTCTAGCACTGCCCCCCCTGCCAGCTACACCACCATTCCTACCACCTCCGTCATTTCTGCCAGCCCCTTCATGGCTTTGCCAGTTTCACTACCTCCGTAATTATTTCCCTACCTTCTTGATGGCCATGGCCTCCCTAGCCCCATTCTCCATCACGGTCAGCAGTGATCCCACAATGAGCCCTCCATTGGCCCCTGGCCCCGTGTTTGTCTATGGGACAATCTGTCATAGCCAGAGATATTGTAGTCCTGTTTCCACTGTGACATAAGAAATGTGAAGAGGATTCAAGGTCGTAAGTGTCTGTGTGTTTCCTCTAAATCCTCTACACATGGAAGTATGGGAGACCCATTACTACCACTTTTGTGTGTGATGCAGGTCTGGAGACACAGAGAGGCCAATCAGTTTTCTCTACAAGAAGTCAAGACATAATAAAGGAACCCGCGCATTACAGGAACCTGAAGCACAGAGATGTCAGTATCCTGTGCAAGCCCACACAGCCCACATGTGCTGAGATTCAAGCAGAGAATGGATGGATATCAAGGCCTGCTAGACTTCAAGTCCGTTGTGAAATATCAAGGCTGTGTGGGGCTGGGGAGATGACTCAGTTGGCAAATGTTTGCTCCTCAAGCAGTGAGGGCCTGAGTTGGACTCTCAGAACCCATGATATAACAACAACAAAACAATCTCAGGATAGTGGCACACACTGGTGATCACAGCACTGTGGAGGTGGATCTCTGGATCTGCTGCCTGGCTAACCTAGCCAGCTCTGTGAGCTCCAGGTAAAAATTCAGACACCCGAAGGCACCTGAAGACGGACAGGTGTGTCACACAAGAAGAACACACACCAGAACAAGTGCACACATGTTCAAACAAACAAGGCTATGGCCTCTGAGATGTGACTCACTGGTCCCTTGGAGAGAATCTGCTATGGTGGCAGCTTCCAGCCTCCTGCAGGTGCACATGGACTCTTCCACAGCTTGTAAGTAGACACCAGGTGCTTCCCAACCAGCTTTGGACAAGGAAGAAGACACAGGTCTGGACATGCCTAAACAGTGTGGCATTCTCGGCGGTCAACCCAGCTAAAGCTTTGCTTACACCTACCCCCTCCTTTCCTCTTTTCCTATATCAGACCTACTCACACTCCGGGAGTGTCCCCCAAGCCCACTGTCCTTCAGGGACATTTTGCCTGAAGCCCTCTGGTACCCCAATTCTGTCTTGGTATTTGTTTGCTGGAGACTCTTTTTTTTTTTTTTTTTTTTTTGGTTTTTCGAGACAGGGTTTCTCTGTGTAGCTTTGCGCCTTTCCTGGAACTCGCTTTGGAGACCAGGCTGGCCTCGAACTCACAGAGATCCGCCTGGCTCTGCCTCCCGAGTGCTGGGATTAAAGGCGTGCACCACCACCGCCCGGCATTGCTGGAGACTCTTAAATGACATGAAGATAAAAGTTTACAATGCAGCCAGGGAACTGCTCCCTAGCTCCCAGTGTGGACTTCTGCCAGACACTCTTCAGCTCAGCGGATTGATCCTGCAACACATTGGTACCCTATTGCAACTATAATCTACTGTAAATGGACTGCAGTGGTGTAACACCTCACACCAAGAAACAGCCAGGATGAGGAGGGAGAAATGAGCTTTGTACCTAGCACCTGTCAAGTGCGTGTGTGTGTGTGTGTGTGTGTGTGTGTGTGTGTGTGTGTGTGTGTTTAGGCCAGGGGTTAGCTTTGAATGTCTTCCTCAGTCCATGTCCACTTCGGTTTTCTAAAACCAGAATTCTCACTTTTAGCCCCAGGAATCTGCCTGTCTCCACCTCCC